TATATATATATATATATATATGTATATATATATATATAAACTGTTGTGCAGACAATACCTGCTTCACCATTGCCGACCATTTTGTGAAAGATGGATTTCCGAAGCGGCTTTGAGTATTCGTTGGAGGACATACATCGAAGAATTCTCTAAACTTGTTCAGAAGGTCGATAATTTTTTCACAAACCTGATAGAAGACAGGAAAGGTTTACGAGTTGGTTATTTCAGCCGGACACCTACACGGCGCACAGAAGAGCCATTTCAAAATTGCGAGAGCAGTTTCTAAATGAATTAAAAAAATATCGACTATACAATGTCGGCTGATGATCGCACTTCAACATAACATAGAGTATACTTGAGTTGGCAAAATCAACTGCGCTTGACATATTTACGAACCTCGGGGACGAATATATCCTGCGAAGTCTTGATTCCTCGAACGCTATCACCAAGTGCAACCACAAAATTCACATAGCTGTCAAACGCAGCAGATTCTAAAAAACAGGCGAGGTCTGCGTTCGTGCGGATAGACCTCACAGGCTCAATGAAGGTGGAATAAGCCATATCAAGTCCAAGTATTGTACGATTTATGAAGATACAGGGGGTAAGAAATGTACTATTTATGTATGCATTTTATATACATATATGATTTTTTTAGTTCTGTGTTTTTTATATTTTTTAGAGGTCCGTGATTGTTTTTATGAGAATAAAATTACCCAAAAAAGTTATCAAACCCAAACCCAAGAATACCGAACTTCAATTGGAAATCACGAGAGAAAAGGCACACGAACACGCGTGACTCGTCGGACAAAATAGATTCGATTGTATGTACTATTTACGATGTTCTATCAGTGTTTAATACTGGTACGCATAGAGAACAGACTATAATCTCCAATTCGATACTAACTATACTAAACAATGTCTGGGTTCAACGACTTCGATAGCTCTAGTCTGGGTACTGACGGCGGACGCCAGCCCAGTAAGCAAGAGATTATGGATGAGGTGCGCCAGCAACTGGCGGTAGCAAATGCGCAGCAGCTGCTACAGGTATGCGCGTTGTCTTGTGTTGGCAATTAACGATGCCTCTCATACAGCTTGCTGCGTAAAAAACCTCATATAAATATATAACATAGGATAGAGGTTTTACCATACCTGCATTGAACAAGATATGCGATTGCTGGTTTAGGCGGAATACTGGCTTGCGTTGGTCAAGTATGGAGTACATTGTGATGTTATATATTCGACCGACGTTGTATACACAGAATCGCGTCTCAATTATACACGCGTTATACAGCTATAGTCTGTATATTCTATTTTTTGTGTCTCTAATATCCTTCCAGTAATGCTCTTTTTGTTACCTAGTGAGGGTTCGGGCTTCCTGTGTGTGTGTGTTGGAACAACTTGACGATATCTGCATCGCTACTTTGCTATTTTTCCTGATTGCTTCGTTTTGGGGTCGTGTATAGTTGACGAGCGTCGGAATAGAACGTACTCAGAGGCAATCCTCTGCTTGTACGTTCAGTACTGTATGGTACGCTATACAGACACAAACAGGCACAGCATTCAAGTGAAATCTATTCACCGCCGTCGTGAGATTTTGGATGTCTAGCTTTTACTTTGCTATGTATGCTGCTATGTGAGGTCTTTCTGTTACACCATATTGCACACGTAACCTTCAATTTTGTCTGTGACTTTGAAGATAAATTGGTGTTTGTCATGGATATATTTGTTGTACAGACTTGGTAGATATTTTTCATTGGCTCTGTAGTTCTATTTCACTTCAGGCCCAATATTTGAAAGTCTATGATTGGGGTGCGTGAAGAATATATATCGCAGATGTCTTGGTAGGGCTATCTATATTCTATACCATACAAGTCAATCAGTAACGTCTCATTACGAGAATGAGTTCGCTAAAACACAATGGCATAACGCGGTGTTTTACGCGCTGATTTGTTATCATGGCTTGCATATTTTCTTTTCGTGTTGTCTTTGGTGGATTGCGTCTCCATGCTTGAGCTATATATGTTGGGGTATCGATAGCTTTAGACTAACGATTTTAGATTCTTCTCAGTCAATGCTTGTAAATTGTTCTGAACGATTATAGTGTCTCGCGCTTTTTGCATTGTCTGGTTACTATCTCATATAGTCTTAAGTTACTGTATTGATCCGTGGTGCGTTTCTCGTCTCCTTCTTGTTAACTTCAAACAACATTTATTCTGTGTTGCGCAAACGTTAGTAGTATACTGACTAGCATGGCAAGTCTGTAGCTTGGCTGTGTTTTAAAACTCCTTGCATTCATTCATTGTTTTTTATCCTTCAGAAAATGACCGATAAATGCTTTAACAAGTGCATAACAAAACCGGGAAGTGATCTATCAGGGTCTGATCGTGCGTGTCTAGCTAAGTGCATGGACAGGTACTTGGAATCGTGGAATGTCATCTCTAAGGCCTACGCGACCCGTGTCCAGAAGGATGCCGAGTCTGGAGGACACCATGTAAGTTGTCAAGTGTAGCGCTTCGCGAAGTGTGAAATTCATTACGAAGTCCCGTTACGTCTACGTTCTTTCTCAACACTGCTACAGCCCCCGACGCGCGTGCAGTCTGTTCTCATGCCCGCTTTCATTTTTTTGCCTGTTATTTTTTGCGTTTTTTATGGTTTTAAAACAATTAGTACAGTTGACAGCTTTTTCATATGGCTCCCAAGTCCACATGCTATCCACAGCTTCCCTGGCCGATTGTAGGTCAATGTTGTATTTTTCTGTATTTAACTACCAATTAGTACTGACATGTTCCATGTATATTTTTCCAACTCGTATGCAGTAAACAAATAATTAACGACTATCGCCACGGGTATTCCAGCACGAGCTATTCCTCCCCATCGGAGTTCAGCACTCGCCTTCTGAGAAGTCTCACCATCTTGGGAGCGTACACACCGCCGACCGTGGTTTATTAGTTGTAGCTCAGACCGACAGCAGGAGTTTGTAATACATTGTGTGTTGATTCTAAACAGCACTCAACATCGCCAAGTAATATACTTTTAATTAAAGATGTATAGAGTATTCTCTGTATGTCGACGTTATTGTTTATGACACGCAAGGCCAACAGATGGGAGCATATGGCGGATCTGGCATTTTCCGGGACGATATTGTTTGGCCCAGTCAAATCGGCTACACTTTCCTAATTAAATGGTTGAAAGACTGCCGAGTACCAAGCGTGTATTTATATACAACCATGGCGGTAAAATACGTAATCTCACAAATTTTACAACCTCGTATACAGAATCAACAATTTCGTTTAAAATATATCAAAAATTGTGGTTTTGTCTGAGAGCTATTTACTTACCGGTGGCGATCTATGTCTTCTTTTTTCCATCCTTGTGTGATGGAATAAAGCTACGCTGTCGCGTTCGTATCAAGGTATGCAAAAGAGATCAACTACCAGCTGGCGAACACAGGTTTCGGAATTCCAATGGGATAGCGCACTACCCAAAAAGGACTCAACGCACGACTTTCTATTAGGTTGCCAAAAATACTGATCACTAGGATGCTTTTGTTTCTCTGCTAAATATTCGCAACATCAAAGTTCCAGACATCAATTTGAAAAGGCATTGCGCTATGATTTTATACGTAAATGTATATATCGAGACGTTGCGTTGTGATTTTATACGTAAATGTATATATCGGAGGCGGTCGTCAATTTCTTCTTTTGTTGCTTTATACCGATCTCGAACGGCTTTGTAGTTACGCTTGTGAAGCAACAGAATGTCTATAGTGTGGTATAGATTCGAAAATAAGCGATCAAGAGACCTAGAAGAACACTATTTTTGTTTTTGATTTTGTTATTACAAAAACATGGAAATACAACAACAAAGAAAACAAAATAAATACAACTCAAAAAAAATTTAAAAATAAAATTGATAAAACTTGAAAGGATATTTAGCAAGCGCCACAAGCCCACAACTGCAGGCTGAAGCAGGTCTAACCTTTTTTTTATAACTTTCTATAAAAAAAGACAAATACATTTTAGGGTCAAAGCAAATTTTTGGGGTCACGATTTTCGGATCGAGAATTTGCGACGGGATGTTTGATAAAAAGAGACATATAAATAGTCGTGTTTTTTTGAGACTATGGCATAGCCTTCGACATATGGACAATTTGATAATTTTTTTGTTGGCAATTTCCTGTGTAATTCTCCATCACCAATCACTGCAAACTGGACTTCTGATCAGTTCTGGTGGGATTTTAGGTTCTGAACTTCTGGGTCTTTGAGTCTGGGACTCTGGGTCTAATTTTCGGTAGAACATGTTGGGACTTTCAGAAGATGGCTCGGGCCGATTGGGCCCCATGTGTTATTTACACTTTATAGAGTAGCAAACATGCGGTGGGTAAAATATATATATCTCATAATCACTTTTTGCTGCTCCCTCTTCCACCCTTGTCTTGCTTATAATACTAAGGTGTGTAAGGAAGTCATGTACGTGGGGGTTGTAGCTGAAGTAGAATTAGCGGAGGTACCGTACATACAAGCATACGCGCAAGAATTACACACACAGTCATACACGGCATTACATGGATAAAAAGTAACACGCACAAACGTTTTGCGATGGCCTGACATAAAAAATCACACATTCACCTGGTGTCGGGTGGTAAACGTTGGACGTTACTTACTACCTACCGAGTGAAAATGCACATGCAAAACATTAAGTAATGGATAAAAACCAATATATATCGATACTTATAATGTCTTTTTGTATTTCATACATAGTACAATATTGGCGGGATACTATAGACTGTCTTCTAATTCACTCCTATTTCTTATTGTACACCAGTAGTCACCATGGATCGTTCGGGAATTAAGCTAGCCAGAGTCGTAAAAGTTCTTGGTCGCACTGGATCGCAGGGACAGTGTACCCAGGTATGTCTTACGAGGCGCTCAAAACTCGAAATGAAATACAGCTATTTTAAGATAAAATTGCCGTTTTATACCCTATAATTGATAGGCCATTGCCTACAAAGTGATTGTGTTTTGTGTACGCGTTTGGCGCATCTATTGATGTATAATTGTGAACTGGTTCTCATAAGTCGAGGTATCATCTTTGAAATGTCATCTAATTTTGTCTGATGAAATCTCCTTTGTATTGGATATCTTTTCGCGTGCTCCTAGTTCATAGCTTTCATAGTAGACTCCACGTCCGAAGTGGGCGAACGAGGTATTCATACTTATATATGAAGTTTGTAGTAAACACTGTCAGGTTGCCTTGTCTCAATTAATTGCATATGTCGTTTTAACCTATCTTCGCGTCTTTTGTGTTTATTTTGTAGGTTCGTGTCGAGTTCATCGAGGACGCTAGCCGATCGATTATCAGAAATGTTAAGGGCCCAGTCCGTGACGGAGATATTCTAACTCTTCTAGAATCCGAGCGAGAAGCCAGACGTCTGCGTTAATTCGCTCATGAATGATAAGCTTGATTTATAAAGTAGAGTCACCGACTACTCGACAAGGTGCACACCAGCGACGATGTGAAATTCTTGCGGAAAATCCCAGCTTTTTAGTAGATAGTTAAGCTTTGTTGTGCAATTTCATCGTAAAATTGAGCTGTTTTGCAGATAAATTAATGTAGTCTGTACCATGTGCATAATATTCGCCGCGACGTTAGTACGTATAAATCAGTGATAGTTATTTCGTCTCCCTCAAACGAATTTTTATATATCGCCATAAAGAGTGGATTTCCATTTAGCGGGACACGACGTTGTGCACGTAAAAACAACCTGGGCTACTATAGAAAGTATTCAGCCAAAAACGGCGCCGTTTTAGCTTTCACATAGACAACCTCACACATTGTATGGTTGCATATATGTACACATACACACATAATGTATATAAATATACAAAACACGTGCACACACACACACACAAATATATATAAATATATATGTATCTGTAAATATAGATATATATATATATATATAAATACATACGCATATATATATATATATACATAACGTAAATAATATATATATAAACACATAAACACACACACACACATATATATATATATATATGTATAATTATACATATACACCATTATATATATATTTATATATTAATATTTGAGTATATATATACATATATATATATATATATATATCACAAATATACACATATATCTATATAATATAC